AGTCGAAAACCCGAAAGGGTGACTTAGGAAAAAATGGGCATCCTGGTGGACATGAAAAGTACAGGCAAAAATTAGGGATAAAATGAAAAACAATAACCCGCTAAGTCAAAAACCCGAAAGGGCGACTTAGGCAAAAAAGGGTATTCTGTTGGATCGAAAACCCGGAAGGGCGATCCAAGCAAAAGTTAGGGATCTTAAGCGAGAGGTTGTAGTATGAATTCTCTTCATGAATGACACATGCACATATGTAGCACCTTGGCAGTGAATTGATCGGTCCAACTTCTACTCTTCAGAGGCGAGGCATTGAGAATACTGAGGATATGGGAACTGTAGAAATACTAGTTTTAATAGAAATTTGAGTTTCTCTCATTGCCATTTATACTTGTTGCATTTTCCGTTCTTTTTTTCCGCAACTACCTCATATAGGAGTTGCATCCTTGTACGAATGCATATTCACAGGCCAACCAATAAAGTTTGCTTTCATCAAGAAGTTGTCTTTTACCATCATAAAATGTTTTTCATATGTAGAATGTGTTTTATTTGCTATTAAACACTACATTAGAAACATGGGGAGTAAAAATTCTCAAGCTGAGATAAAACTTGACTTTACATCGATATATAACCATGAGGGAGTGTTGTATGCATTCCAAGTGTTGTTTTTCTTTGCAGGTAGCAATTTATAACAGTCCCTCGACCTCGCAGTGCATGGAGTAGCCTTCATCTGCTACAGATAATTTCAAACCTGATTCCCCAAGTGAATTTATAAAATTCAGTCACCATTTGACTGGCATGTGCGAGTACACATCCCCCAAGAGTTAAACAAGGGCATCCCCAATGGAGTTAATCAAGTGCATCCCCTAGTGGAGATAAACCAGGGAATTCGCAGAGCTAAACTGGGGCACTCGCAGAGTTAAACCGGGTCATTTGCAGGTGTTCATGCCCGTAGTTTATCCCTAAGTGATTCAAGAGGTTATTCCTCAGTGTGGCGTAAATTTTGGGGCATGTATTCGAAGAGATCACCATGGTGTTTAGTGTCCATTCTTCGGCATATTCATTTCTACCATCCTCCAAGTGGTTCAGGATGTAGGGAAATCGGGCCAGATTATCTCTTCCCAACAATACAATTCAGAATTAAGTGGCGTACCGGTAAACTCACTTCGGTGGAAATTCAATCTTCTGCAGAGTCATCAATAATATATGGTATCGTGAGCTCTCCAGTGCAAATTCTTATCAGTATCCCCAACAATCTTTGGTATTGCAAGTTTCCAGCACCGATATGTACTAGCATCCCCAGTGAAGAACAACAGTTCCCAATGAGCCTTCGCTTATCTCCATGAAGTCCATTTCTTTGCATTGCATATAGTTATCATTGCATAACATTGCATCCTTAAAAGTGCATAGCCGATTCATCAGAGTGGATCTTTACGGCAAAAGAAATCCAAACATGCATACGAAGCATAAGCCATATCAGGTACCTTACATGAAAGACCTGAATCTTTCAAAGACAACAATACATCCCCACAAGAGGGTATCGCTTCCAAAATCCCCAGTCGGTGAACTTCACCTTCACAATTCCCAATAAAATTAATACACCTTGTCATTCTAAACCTAGTTTTTGTCTGGTAGTCAGTTCCTGCCTGACAAATAATTCAATTCCTAAAAACTCGTTTGTGTCAGTTTCCCTGACACTCGTCTGTGTCAACTCATAAACACTCATTCGTGTCATTTCTCCAAACACTCTTTCGTGTTTAACCTTTCTTGATACTCATCCGTATCTTCTTTCGATACCCGTCTGTATTGATTAAAACACTCGTCCGTGTTTAACCTTTCTTGATACTCGTCTGTATCTTCTTTCAAATACCCTTCTGTATTGACCCAAACACTATTCCGTGTTTAACCTTTTGATACTCATATGTATCTTCCTTCAATACTCGTCTGTATTGATTCAAACACTCGTCCATGTTTAACCTTTTGATACTCGTCTGTATCTTCTTTCAATACTCGTCCGTATTGATTCAAACACTCGTTCGTGTTTAACCTTTTGATACTCGTCTATATCTTCCTTCAATATTTGTCTGTATTTATTCAAACACTCGTTCGTGTTTAAACTTTTGATACTCGTCTGTATCTTCCTTCAATACTCATCTGTATTGATTCAAACACTCGTCCGTGTTTAGCCTTTTGATACTCGTCTGTATCTTCCTTTAATACTCGTCTGTATTGATTCAAACTTTCGTCCGTGTTTAACCTTTTGATACTCGTCTGTATCTTCCTTCAATACTCGTCTGTATTGATTCAAACACTCATCTGGGTTTAACCTTTTGATACTCGTATGTATCTTCCTTCAATACTCCTTTGTATTGATTTAAACACTTGTTGTGTTTAACCTTTTGATACTCGTCTGTATCTTCCTTTAATACTTGTCCGTATTGATTCAAATAATCTTCCGTGTTTAACATTTTGATACTCGTTTCTATCTTCCTTCAATACTCGTCTGTATTGATTCAAACATTCATTGTGTCCTGATTGATACCTCTCATGTGAATCATCGTGTCCTGATCGATGTCTCCCTTTCAATCATTGCGTCTTGATCGATTTCTTCCTTTTGGTTATCGTGTCTTGATCGATTTCTTCCTTTTGGTTATCGTGTCTTGATCGATACCTCTCATGTGAATCATCGTGTCCTGATCGATGTATTCCTATTAGCTACCGTGTCCTGATCGATGTCTTCCTTTCAATCATCGTGTCCTGGTCCGTGTTTTCCTCCGAGTCATCGTGTCCTAATCGATGTACTCTGATGTTTTCGTGTCTTGATCAATGTATACCTCCGGTTTAGTGTCACCTCTTTTAATTCCCCATTGGATGTTACAAAAACAATACTCATTACCACCATCTTTCAGAATAAATTTTTGGCATTGGTATTTAATCATCTTCTACCTCGAACTTCCGAAAGGCGCACGCCAATCATACTTTCAGGTTTAAGATGATTAAATAGGGGCAGCTATAATACCCCAAATTTTTCCCACCTTTTCACTTTTATATGGCTTATGCATCTCGCACTTTTCTCATGTACATAACTCCTATTAGGTCATCTAACAACATCATTCATTCATTAATAAATAAAACATGGCATGTGATCAAAGATGTTGAGGAATTGGGGTTGTTGTAGATCTTTAAGGTTCTCATCTTCATTCAAGGAATCAACTGGTTTCATCATCAATCATGGTTTGTGGAGCTAAGGTTTTGGTGTTCAGGGTCACTGAGAGCTGTATTCTCCTCAAGCTACAAAGATCATCAAGTTCTCCATCGAAGGGTTGTGACTTGTTTGTGCAAGGTTTTTTTATCAATACCTCAAATAAAGACTTTTCAAGATAGGGCTTGGGCCTTCTTAGCATCTCAAATTCATCTCAAGGAAGCTTATGGTTTTGTGATCACCATCATTATTCATATGCTTCTAATTGCTCCAATCTACAAGGTTTTCCTCAAGACATTTGCTTGGAGATCATTAATCATCAAAATGAGGTGCCTTTGCAAAGTGAATTGCAAGATTTAAATCATGGTACAAAGGTGATGTTTTGGATGCGTAATATGATCAAGGCATCATTATTATTTGTCGCCTCGATTACAAGAGGTGGATATAAGATCGAAACTAAGGGTTTTATCAAGAGGGCGAGGTTGATTTGGTTTGGTTCTTATGGATTAGTTATTTAGAATCATTTGAAGTACTACCTAATGTCACAGATTAAAGTTGTTTGAAGTTTCCTTAGAAGAGTGCGGATTTGGACATGGGACTTTGCATGAACTTAATGGATCACTTCTAAGTTGAAAATCATTGGAGATCTTATTCAAGAGTCCATGTTAAGCACTTGTTTTTTTCATCCTATGTGTTGGTACTTATTCAAGCGTCGCAATAATTAAAGGAAAATTGGGAAATTAAAGTAAAGCATATGGGGGGAAGACGAATTCCAAACTTTGTTTGAATGGAGAAGGACCATTGCATATTATATTCATAAGATCCATTACAATTTCAATCTTTATTCGAATTGCATCTAAATTTGTTCAAAGAACCATGGACATGGAAGTCATTACAAGTCAACGTTCGGAAATATTCAACAAATAAGATCGGAAATACAAATGAGGCATTCAATAACAATTCAAAAGCCATTTACATCAAGGCTGCAAAATCACATCAATAGAAACCTAATCCTAAACTAAACATAATCCAAATTCTTCATCTTCAATGACCTTCATAACTCATTACCCTCTTGTCCATAATTCAAGCTTCTTGCCTTAACAATGAGCCTCCATACTTTTTGTCCATCTCCAATTTCTTGTCTCGGGCCTCATACTTCAAAACCATTTCCTTGCAACTTTGCACCATGGGACGTTGATCTAGGTCCGATTCACAACAACCGATAAACCGAAACCACTACATATAACATAAAACCTGCATTCAAATAAACCATACCAAAGATTTACAGCAGCAAGGTAGCTCCTAACAGAAATCCACAACTTTTCCTAACTATTTCCCAACAGGAAACCAATAACGGTCTCTAAATCCCTCACTAACCTAACTACCCTGCATAACCAAATTTTCGACCATGCCAACTATAAAAGTTTCTAGCTATTAAAAATTACCCGAATCAGTAACCAACTCTCTAACCACATAACGGTCATAATCCCTAGCAAATTACTATTAACAGAAAACTAACTTATAACCACCTGCAACTGTTTCCAATCATTAACAACCCCCCTAACCATTTCTAAACCATCTTCTAACTGTCAAAATAGAATAACTCCCTCTCTCCCTCTCTAAAACCACAAAAATAGAATAACCAAACTCCAGTTAACTCTCAGACCATAACTAACCACAACATAATCAATAACACTCTAACTGAATCTGCCAGCTCATTCTAACCGACACCATAACAGAATTATAAATCTCCTAACAACCTCTAACTACTTCTATAGAGTTTTCTAAACAGATTGAAAGGAGGAGAATGAGAGGCATGATTCAGAAGAAAAGAGAACAGAATAACAGAAAAAGCTCACAAGAAAAATTCTCTGTGCTCTCTTCTTCTTCCCCCTTCAACCTTTCAACCGAAATTTTTTCTTCTCTCTCTGAATCTTCCTCTGCACATTCTTCATCCTCTTCACATTGCACACACCATCATCGCTGCTTCTTCGCATCGTACCACAATATCGTTTCTGCGAGCTTCATAAGCTTTTTCATGCTCCAACATCTGTAACCATAATAACAGATAGCAGCAACACAGTACAGTCATGAAGGAGAACAGTGTAGAGGGAGAAGAAGATCGAATGAAGGATTCGTGCAAGCTTAAACATATTATCTTTAATAGAGCACTAGAAATGTTAATCTCTGTTTTTTTGTTCGTCTCTCCACCATGAAGAATTGCCGGAATTGCTCCGGTGGTTAGTCTTCTTCTTTACCTTCTTACACCAATCTTTATACCATTGTATAGCTTGTATGCCACCGAACAAAATCCCTAAGCTTATGGCTCGATCCAACGCTGCATCCCTGTTTAATTTCAGACTATGTTCGATTAGGTTTTTGTTTATGATTGGGTTTGGAGGGTTGGCTTTAGGCTTGATACAAACGAAATGAAGGTGTGAGAGTGAAAGGCGGAGTGATGGAGTGGGAGATGCCAGCGAAATTAGGGAAGGGAGATGAAGTCGCCACCGTATGCGAGGAGGGAGGAAAGAAACTCTGTTCAAATTGGATTTCAAGGGTCACACGAAGTGAACCTAAGTCACTCTTGCGTTTTTCTTTTATTACTTTTTCGGATTTAGAAATTGTTACAAGATGGTAGAGTAATATTATGGGCCATCAACTGCACGGTATACCTGCATCAGCCCATACCACTGTTTTTGGAGCTTAAAGGTTTTGAATAAAAAACTTCACTTATGGGCTTCATTCTAACCAGGCCAACGCCCAAACTCTTAGACCATGCACAAAAAAGCTTCTAGACTCAGTATTATAGGCCTAGCGCCCATGGCTTTAGTTTCTCATTTTTTTGCACCCCTGTATTCGAACTAGTATCCCCCTGAGTTCACTAATTCTTTGTTAGATTTAGGACTTTTTTTGTTAATTTTTGGCAATAAAATACTAGATAAATATAGTAAAAAACAATTAAAAAAATAGTAGAATAGTATAATGGTTTTTTTAGGAATTAATCCTTTAACTTTTTCTAGAATTTTCCTTACATAAAAAACTAATAATAGAAAATACTTTTCCTATTAGTTTCTAAAAAAAAAAAATACTTATTTTTCTTTTAGTTTTTTTCCGCATTTTTGTGCTGCTTTGCCATGTTATATTTTGACGCGTTTGTTCATTATGTAAGGTACATTTGGTGCTTTCGATCATATAACTTAAAAGGTAGTTAGGTGATCGAAGCATACAGTTTATACTCGCTTCTGATGCAACACGCCTTATTTCTCATCGTCCTGTGAAATTCATATCATATTATGTGTTGTCCTGATGCACGTGATATTATATGACACTTTGTGCAGGAACCTCTAACTACGCGTTGCATTCGCTACACGCGTTTGCCTTTATCTTAGTTGGATATTATTTCTGACTTTGTTTATTTCTTGGTGAAGCTTGCTCGACGTGTACTCCCTACTTCTCCATTGCTTTCGTCCGCTCTTGACGATTTTCTTGCTTTGCTATTTTCCGCTGCTACCATCGTACTTATTCGCACTTTACTACATTTATTTATCATTTTTTCTAGATATCATGAGAAGTAGGATTTTATTTCTTTCTAGATACCATGAGAAGTAGTAAATAAAGAGCGTGCGCTCGAAGTCGCTGTTTAAACACCTGTAGCAGGCATTCCGCACTTCATTTGCTATATGTGTTGTGCTTGTGTTTGTTCTTTGGTTGTTGATCGATGAGTTACTCAATTTAGAAATTGAGATCACGAATTCTCTCTCAGTGCATGCTCCCTATAGGATTTTATCGCTTTCTTTTATTTCTTTTTGATCGATGAGTCACTCAATTTAGAAATTGAGATCACTATTTCTCTCTCATTGCATGTTTCCTATAGGATAATTTTGTTAGACTTTCTTTGGCATGCTAACTTAGATATGATCTCTCTAGGTGTGATCTCTTGAGCTTATTAGCTTTCTTGCTTTATCTTTGTACATACCATGTTACCTTAGGTTGCGCTTGCTCCGCTTGGATGCGAGTTAGACCTTAGGTTGCAAACTATGCATGCTAACATTAGGTAGGCATTTCCCTTTCATCCTTGACGTAGGGCTACCATTGTATGATAACATTAGGTTAGAAATAGGCTAGTCTCCCTTAGACTCTTTTCTCCCCTTTTTTTGCATCTTTGCATTCAAAACTAAAACCTTTTCCTTAGCAAATCAAAAACATGCTAATAACACTTAAACCCTTTTTCTAGGTAACAAAAATACAAACCAACTCAAACTTTTTTTTTGCGCTCAAGCAAATCTTCTCTAAAACCCTTTTCAGGTAAGGATATAATTAGTTAATTTTGTGCCAATGCATAAGTCTCTAAAGGTCGAGCTGCGGCAGAAGGCGGAATTAACATTGTCCATAAAAAACACAAAGAAACAAAAACATGTGAGTCGAACTACGGTAGCTCTGACTCCTCAAAAAGGATACGTAGGCATTGGGGTAGGGCCTAAACGAGTACAACTTTATTTTCCCTACATTATTTTCCCATTACTTTTGCATGCATTCTTCCTCAGTAGTAAACAGTACGCATAGATTAAACACACTCATAAGATAGGTAACAAGAATGGATACCGTAGAGTACTACGGGCACATGGGGTACTAATACATTCCCCTCACGTAACAGACTCCCTTACCTGATCTCTCGGTTGCAAGACCGTGACTTCTCCCTTCTCAGATTTTCTCGATGTTTACCTTTCCCTCCATATGGGATAAAAAACGTTCGATGGTGACTTTATTGTTTGATGATTTTCAGGTGGTTGTTTCACCCTATTGCACGAAAGGTGGTACGTAGGCACTAAAGGTTCGCAACCGCGACGGATGAAGAAATTGTAAAAAAAACATTTCTTTTCTCATCCCCACCATCTTACTTTTTATACAACTCTTATAGCCAAAATACATAGATTTTCAAAGAGGTTCCTACGGAGTACCGTAGACTTTTAGGGTGCTAATACCTTCCCTTTTCATAACCAACCCCCGAACTTAGATTCTCTCCCCCTCTTTTTGGGTTATTCGCTTTTTTCCCATTACTTTGGAAATAAAGCACGGTGGAAATTTTTATTTGATGTGTGCGAGTCAAGTCAATCCAATGGCTTAGTCTCAACATTTATACCGCTACACTTGGGAAGACTTTGTTACTGCTTTTTACAAGCAGTATCAATATAATGGTGACCTTGCACCAACTCGCGTGCAATTACAAAACATGACTATGGGCTCGAATGAAGGATTCAAAGAGTATGCCCAAAAGTGGAGAGATCTGGCTTGAAGAGTGCAACCTCCGTTATCTGATAGGGAGTTGGTTGATATGTTTATGGGCACTCTGACAAGGCCATTCTTTAACCATCTGATTGGAATCTCCTTATCTGGTTTTACTGAGCTAATTCTAACCCGAGGACGTGTCGAAAGTGGTATCAAGAGTGGAAAAATTTAAGTGGCTGCATCTTCAAGTGCTGTGAAGAAGACATTCAGTGGTAAGAAGGAGACCAATTTTGTTCATGTCCAGAAGGGCCATGTTAAAAGTGACTGCAATAAGCCCGTGGGAACAGTATTAATTTCTAATCATGCGCCTGTTCAACAATAACAACAGGGCAATCAGGATAGGACAGACACTCCGAGAAGCAAGTTTACGAAGATCAGTATGCCATTATCTCAGGCATTACAACATTTACTGAAAGTAGAGTTGATAACAGTGAGGGAGCCTCCATTGAATCCCAACACCTCCTCTCCTCGATATAATCTGAATGTGAAGTGTTCCTACCAGTCCAACAGTCCTAGGCACGATACAAACAATTGTTGGGCCCTGAAAAACAAAATTCAGGACATGATTGACAACAAAAAGATCGAGTTTGATCCTCCGGAGACCCCGAATGTAATTATTGCACCTATGCTGAAGCATGACAAAGGAATAAGTGCTATTGACGATGTTCTTTATGTTTCTACTGTAAGTGAATTGGTTACTCCGCTACCAATCATTAAGAAGAATCTGTTGCAGGTCTGTTTATTTCTAGGTTGTATTGAAAAATGTTACTGCTGCGCAGCCCAACCCAATGGCTGCAAGTTGCTGAAGGAAGGAGTTCAATGCCTAATGGGTAATCACATAATTCTGGTTGAGAAGGTTTTGTCTACTGAGAACCTGTTTCAAGACTTTTCTATAATATCTAGCACTCCTGTCAGGATTACCTCCAAAGGTCCTGTAAGAAATACTGGCAATCCGAAACATGCTCCTCTGATCATCACTACACCTGGACCTATCCCATATTCTTCGGATAAAGCTATTCCTTGGAACTATGGATCCAGTTTCTACTACCATGGCATCAAACAAGAACTATCGACTGTTGAAGATGAAGTTACTGAAGTTGTTGATCCCGGCATTGACAATATTGGTAGGACCAGTAAGGTTACTATAAGTGGAAGGGTTTTCTCCCAAGAAATATCTCCGATGACTGTTGCTACACCTGTTAGAGTCACCGTTACCGAGTCAACTGCTGAGGCTCAGGGAAAATAACAAATAACGGAGCCTTCCCAAACGCAGGCGCCTAAGGAAGTTGTCGTTTAAGATAACTCTATACAAGAGTTGGAAGAGGTTTTGAATATTATCCATTAGAGCGACTACAAGATTTTCGAACAGCTGGGGTAGACCCCATCTAAGATCTTTATGTTATCCCTATTCTATGTTTTGAAGCCCATACACAAGCTCTGGTGAAATTTATGAAGACTGCTCACGTGCCATAAGAGATTTCTGCCTATCAATTTGGAAGTTATGTTGCTAGCTTAACGATTGATAATGGATTAGGTTTCTCTGATGTTAATTTGACTGCAGAAGGGAGAAATCACAATAAGGCTATGTATGTCTCCATTGAATGTAGGGGCACTACTTTGGCTCATGTATTGGTTGATACTGGTTCCTCGTTAAATGTTTTACCGAAGGGCGCTCTGAACAGAATTGATTGCGAAGGGGTTGTGCTGAAATCCAATGATATTATAGTTCGGGCCTTTGACAGGTCAAAGAGGATGGTACACGGAGAAGTGGATCTTCCAATCAAGGTAGGTCCGCAGATCTTTGAATCTACCTTCTATGCAATGGATATTCGACCAGCTTATTTTTGCTTACTGGGGCGCCCCTGGATACATGGGGAAGGCGTTGTCACCTCTACCCTGCACCAGAAGTTAAAGTATCCCGTGAACGAAAAGGTTGTTACTATCTGCGATGAAGAGGAGTATATGGTTAGCCACCTGAACTCATTCCGGTATGTAGAGATGGATGGAGATTTCATATTGACTCCCTGTCAGACTTTTGAAGTCATCCCTCCTGCCTCAACTGAAGATGTCTCTGCCATTCCCAAAGTTACCAGGGTTCCGCCCAGAATGGCTTCACTGAAAGACGCTAAGGCTGTTGTGGAAGAAGGTGGTTGTACTACTTGAGGTCAGCTTCTTGAGATTCCATATAAATCTGACAAAATTGGTTTGGGTTTCACTATAGAGGGTTAAATGGTTGTTCACTGCGCTCATGCTGGAAGACCACCATTCC